GAATAAAACACTTTCTCAAGTTTCCGCGCTTTTAGCCAGTACGGGGGATTTTTAGGGACATGTAAGTGTTTTGCGTTTTCGCTTATAGGTCCGTTCGTAATTTAGTCGCCCCGGGCAATCTCCTATGTTGAATTGCCAGACGGCATTTCCGCTCCTCCGTTACCAGAGTAAACGTTAGCGGCATGATAGTCCCTTCCTGAAAGGTTTATGTCGTACATAATCAGTGCTAGCTTGTCGTGTGAGAGACTTGACTACCTGTGGGTCAGCATTTTTAAACTCTCTCCTGACGTACTTTTTAGATAACAAAATTAGTTCGAATTTAAAGACTTACGGAAGATCAGGGTAGCCAGAATTTTTTCGTATGAGATTGTTGTATTTTACCTACCTCTAGATATATATTCACGCCTACTGTTTCCATTAAAAGGACAATAGGCACATTAGTTACCAAAATGACAGCTGTTCAAATGCTCTTTGCTTATTTCAAGTAACCTGGCGACCCGGTTCCCGAAAAACTACTCCATGCTGTCTTGTTGCACAAGGCAAGCCATAATCGGGGTGGTCTGGGACGACCATGAAAGGCGACATTGGCATTTTGAACATGAAAAGACTACCTCTTAAAAGCCGCCACACTGGGGAAAACTAGACTCCGTAGCAAACTTGGAGTTCTAAAAAAATTAATAAGATCCGCAAACGACACAAGCTGCTGTTTTTCAATTTATCCCTGTCTCTAACTGATCGCCTTGGAATACGTTTAAAATCCAGGAATACAGTTATACACCAGAAATCGAATGACCAACTATGGTTACCACTGGATACTTGAGGTGGCTCTACGCTCTCATCGAAGGCGCCTCATGTGTTTTGGATACGACAATCTATTTCCTTTTGCCTTTCGAGTTCGGAAAATTCGACCTCAAGGGCAACTTAAATGCCCGTCGGAAAACGCCATTCGGATGCCAGTTTTTTGGAAGTAGCCGTAAGTACCTACATCATTTCAGTACATTTGATGACCCCTTGAAGCCGAGTGTACAATAACGGACGTAGGCTGCCTCCAATTGGCGCAGAATCTGAGCTAGTTGAGCCCTTTTGAGGATTGATTAGGCCGGTTTTGAGTCAACAGAACGTGCACGACGTAGCAAGCGCTCGGTAAAGGCTTCTTCGAGGCCATTTGTCATGCGGTCCGCCGCTCAGCCTGTAATTTGTATTCTCCCAAGCTACTTTCGTCCACGCGTGTACTGGCCTACCTAAAAATCCCGGCAGATCAGACCTGGCTTTTGGCGAAGGCCGGATACGAAGTAAGCAGTTGATGACCACGTTACGATAATACACCGGTCATTCAAAGTGGGTACAGGCCACGGCAATTTGACCGTCGCAGGTAACAACATCCACCATCATTCTATAAGGTGGGTCCAACACTAACGTGGGCAGGGATTTTTTAAGTGTACAGGACTCACTCGACTCGTCTCGTTCAGTCTTCCCATACCATCCACCGTCTTTTGATAGCAGAGCATTGGCAAGATGATCAGAGAGGGGATTCAGTCACATTTGTTGATAAAGCCAAAAAGTCCATCAACGCGCATCACATACGATCGAGCCCACACGCCATACGTGTCAGGCTCCAGTAGGTGGGTCTCAGATCTCACATGCATTCCATAAAGGTGATATTATCAAGGAGCCATTCTATTCTGACTCTCTGTCCTGGTGGGAACCGAGCCACCTCCTCCGTCGGCAACCTTCTAGGTCACGATTGATAGCACGTCGTGATAGGTCAAGGCGCGTCGGAATGCGTTGGCGCACCGTGAGAATGAATTTCTACTCGATGTCAGCCGTACCTCCCTCTCATACAGCGGTTGACCTTTCGAGTTTGTCAACCAACCGATGATGAGATTGGGCACGGTGGCCAACACTGCGTGAAGGCCTACATCCAAGATGTACCATAAGTATCTATGGTAGCAGTTAAAATCTCTCGGTCTCAACGCATCCTTCCCGACGCGTCCCATGAGCCAGCCTGGTTTCCTTTATGATCCAGCTTGCGTGCAGAGCAGCCGCTTTATTGGGTGTTCGTGTGCACCTGTAGTATTTGATGGTTTACGGGATGTCTGGGTTTTGATTTGTTGCTGTTGGAGTTCATGTATCCGCGTATAACGGACTGGCCCATGCGCTGTTGTCTTTGGATAGCGTGGGCACGAAGGTTTGTGTGAGGAGTGTAGATCAGGGCTAGAGTCATGTTGCAGTGGACTCGATGACTGGTCAGCCAAATGCATAACGGGAAGTTGTGGTCGCAATGCAACTGTAATGGTAGTGGTCACTGCTGTCCCTCGCGTCCTATTGACCTTCCCGTCGCTGTTGGAACAACGATGTCCGACGAGGGTGACCCCGGACTGGAGCACCTATCGCGGTGAAGGGAAGTTAGAGGGTCGACTTCCGCGATGCTATTGGCGGTAGCAACGCCCTTTGCGCTTGGTTTTGTTTTGGACATGTTGAGACGACAGAGGAATCCGATGTGCCAGACAAATGCAATCTATGCCGTAAATGTTACTCAGAAATACGAATGAGTTGACAGACTTTGAGCATTTGTGAGGTTGAGCTGCTGCATTCGAGACTTGTGTGTCTCCAGCGTCGTTCTGGCCTCCCGTATTTGATTGATCTAGTAGACTGCTGTCCCAACCCTTATGGCGATTAGTTCTGTCCCGCGAAGGACCCCGAAGTGGCCTTTATTGCGCTGATTCTATACAGGATCTCTGTACCAGGAGTTCTTCCCTACCACTTCGCCTTCGGCATTCTTCGGAAGCAATTGAGCCGAAAAGAATCCAGCTTCCCTGTTTGACTTTTATAGACTGCCTCATTCTTGCCGGCGCACAGACGTGGTTCCAAAGTGGTTGTGGCCGGCCGAGGGTCTGGCTGGTTTTAAAGATGCGACTGACAAGCATGTCGTTGGTCTTGATATTTTTCAATCGCCACCCCCTATGCGTGCGAATTTATCTATTGATTTAAGGCGAGCTCTACTGACATTTACCTTGATTTGGTTGCAATCTTCAGAATGCACCAAACGGTTCATAACAACTGTTTCATTAACCAGTCCAAAGGTCGAGCAGATGGATGTAAAGGCCCACGCCTCGTCGGATGTTCACTTCCGTTCTGCTGTTTAGCGCACAGTCATCCGCAGACAAGGTGCTGTGGACGCCTGCCCTGAAGACTTGTCGTGATGATATGGTCGGCAGGGCAGACATTCGCAAATCAGGGAAGATGGATTGGATTGGACAAACTTTACTGCTGGGGAATTGGTACACAAAAGCACCTCGAGCAGTCGCGGAGAGCGGTCTCTCCAGGCAAGTTGCGTTGTCTGTATCCACCGTCGAGGTGCTCAGACCCAGCGCGTGTGTACGGTACTGACAAGCTTCGCGCGTCCGAGCAGCGGATCGACAGGGAGAGAGACGGACAATAGGGCAGCGTGACAAGGGCGGAGAGCAAGGAGGCGCGAACTGTCACAGAATTTTGTAGCCGCCTTCGGGCATTAGGTGTTGAGCAGTTGTTTGACAGTTTGCTGGGTTATGTTGGTTCCCGGTAGGCATTTATCAATACGGTCGATAACATGAGGTTGAAAGGACTGAGAGCAAGTACACAAGCCTGCTTCACTCCATTTGTCGTCGCAAATGTCACCCAAACTGATTCCTCTGTGACGCGCAGTAGCGTCCCGTCATGTGATTGGCTGGCAAGCTGCGTAAACTGGGGCATCCAAATTCCAGTATGCTTTTCTCAAGTGCAGAGAATGGTCCGCATTTCTAGCGACTTGCCGATCGTGATGACCACCTCCGTGGCGCTTTCTGGAGAAGTTGCTGCCTCATATGTATTCAAAGGGAAATAAATTGCGGGGGAGCAGCTGTCTGGCCGGTAATTATGAAAAGGGGTATTCTGCGGTAAATGTCGCAGCGTTGTATCTTCCAAAACATGGATTTTTCCTTGTCATTGCATCCCCTAGAACAATGAAGTTGGCCTGTCCACGAGTTGAATGTCACCGAATTTGCAAATTTCGACTGAACTTGAGTCGGAGCCCGATGCTCTTTTGCAGGACAACCGGCGAGATGCTTTGATTGCCAGTTGCAAGAACGGCGGGCGAATGATGTCAGAAGTGGCGTCCAGATAAAGATGGTGATTGATAGTTCCTTCGTTATGTGTAGGCGTGTAGTTAAGGACTCTTGAAGAACTTGGTCCAGAGTTCCAGGATTTGTGATTTTCCCGACAGTAGGGTTGTGTCCTTTGAGCTGAGCGATGGCGCAGTCGCCCTAAGTTGAGGGTCGTCAGCTGTTCTGATGACTGAGACGACATTCTTCATCTCACCGGGGTCTGAATATATTCAGATTTAATCGGTCTTGTACCTCCTATAGCCTCTGCTGCAGCAGGCTTGGGCGTTGGAGGGGTCCGACTTTCCTGGCGTTGGCCCCGTCTTTTGTGTAGGTCTATGTAGTCTTCTTTAAACAGCATGCTTGAGGGCAAGATCCTGCTTCGTAGCCGCACCTGTAAGGGGGCAGGGGTTAGAGTTTCCCTTTGTCTCATTCGAGAGGAAGTCAAAGTAGTCCACTCTAGAGATGAGTAAGATGTGGTTACGTAGCCGCACCTGATGGACACAATACTGTTGGCCTACTTAATTGTTTTGAGTTGGTGTGATTATGTTGGCATGGTGTTGGTGCGTGTTGATGTGTGCGTTCTGTTGGCGGCCTTGTTTTTTCGTTGCCGTGCTTACCTTTTTTGGCCCAATGCCGGTGGTCCGTCTTGGCTTTCAGCTTGTCGTATCCTTCTAACTTTCGGGTTGAATGTTTCAGGGTTAGGGTTTAGGACTGCGGTTAAGGGCTAAGGCTAAGGGTCAAGGGTAGGGGTAAGGTTTAAGGGTTACGGCAACTATTTCTCAACCACTTAAAGTACAACCGCGCATTGCCAATATCTTTCCTTGTGCGTATAATTACTTGACCACGTCGCCTGTGCGTTCTCCAGCCCCACCAGTAAAAACCCCTATTACACGCGGCTGGGGTTTGTTTACCTCGGCTGCGGCTACATAACCACGTCTGACCGAAAGACGATTCTCAGGCAGTGGTGGTCAAGACACTCCCAGATTTCAAGCATCTTCCACGCGAACGATTTAGCATCCAAACCATAAAGTTCTTTGTGGTGACTGAGATATCACGCCGGGCCTGCAGCCTGTTTCCAATAATTTTAAATCTGCGCAAGCTGCGCTGATTTGAGAGACGACATCGCCCGTACTCAGTCCATTTGGCAACAACCTTACCCCAAGCATCGAAAACTTCATACTTCCCGACACTGGCAGCCATTATTTCTAGGGAATTGTTTCTCCTAGTCGGGGATCCAGCTCGAAAACAGTTGGGCCTTCCCAGGTGTTATGAAGAATCCGACGGATTTGCCGACCTTATTCACGCGTGATATCACATTACACAAGCCATCCCGGGCTTGCAGGATGACGCCAACGTAGTCAAGATCAGTCAGTCGAAGTCGGGATGAAATGTAAACACCGTAAAACCATGCGCGGTCCGTCCGAGAACCCAGTTAATGGTGTAACTGAACGGCAAAGGCGGCAGAATACATTGAACACCAAATCGATGACCGGACGACCGGGAAAGGTTACCGTGGACCAGAACTCACGCACTGGTGGACCAATTGTGGGTCCTGTTCAGGACGAGGATTTCTGGCTAGCTTCACTACCCGCCCCAGGAGACGCAATGTACACAATCGAACGCTACGGTGGAGCCAATAAAGTAGACGGCCGATGGAGTTCAAGAATGCGTCGCCTTGTCAGTATTTGGTCAGTGCACACATGTCCATCTCGATACCAGCTTGGTTGGGTCTCACAGTTGAGTTTCGCACACAAAAGTTGTCGTAGAATGGAGAGGACGAAGACCTTCGCAGCATCACTAATTAGGGTTATGCCGCAGTATCTTTCATACCTTGTTTTAAGGCTCTCCTTGAAAACAGGCACAAGTATCACTGAGCCCCATTTCTCTTGGGTAAGCCGTATCGACCCCCTACAATAAACGCAACTGTGAGACTGGCCAGAAGATAATCGACCTTACTGTCATACGGTCACTGCTTGAAGGTTAGATTGACAGATGCTTGTGACGGTACTGGAGGCACGTGTTGCTGAGACGACCACTCGGTTCTGCGCGGCAAGGTTAAACAGTGTCTTCTGCTGCATCGATAAAAAAGCCCGACGCAGCCAATTGGGCGACTTCCAGGATATGTCTGGCTCAGTCCAGCTATTTCAGACCCCGGCAGCAATCGGCGGATCACCGAGACCTCTGGCGAGTTTGCGCGACTGTAATTAAAGGTTTATAGATGGCACTGATTTGCGGCTGATGTTGGTGTAGGTGACGACTACAGAAACGGCAAGTCGCCCTTCAGTGATACAAAAGTCAGCCAAGTGTCAAATACTTTCCACGCAAACAGTTCGCGGTTCGTTTCCTGTGATTCACGTTAGTGTCCACTAGTCGTGCGAGCCGCCGAGATACAGGGTGAGATGGGAGTCGACCTTAAGTTTCCTAGTCGAGTCGGGGATTCCGACGGGCAACAGAGACCCATGTTCTACTGTTCAGAAACGTTGGTGGACCTCAGTACCCGACAGCAGGGGGCCGTCCACGACTGAGCCCAGCTAGCACACCATTTGGGACACCAATGAGTCAGAGTAGTGGTCGACCCTCGCCAAAACCCCAGTTTACATTGCAACAATTTAAAAAGACACTTCCGAGATTCCCTAATCACTTCGTGTGCATATAGGGCATCGACATCCTCAGATTGTTTGTCTCGATTTGTATCCTCGGGCGATTCAACTTAATAACCCAACCGTAAGGCAGCTATGGCAATGGAACGTATATAACGGCGGCCCACGGTCGCCACGTCACAATGCCTTTATCGATTTTTGCGGAACAAAGCAGTCGGCATTCCAGGCCTCAACCCACCACCCCTGGTATCACTGTCAATGCTATTCAGTGAGGGCTTATTTGTCAGTCATGATATTCGCCGTCCGCCAGCTGCAGAAGTGTCACAAGATGCCGACCCACCTCCAAGCTACCTTTGTGGATCCGAGAGAAGCCTTTAACACGGCTAATCGCAAAGGGCTGGGGGAAATCACGCGAAAACTCGGCTTTCCCGAGCGATTCCCTCAAGTGGTCCGTTAGCTCCCCAATGACATGGTGGCGCGTGCCACGGACAACGGAGGCGTCTCAGAGGCATTCGCAGTCACCAACTGTGTGAAGCAGGGCTGCGTCCTCGCGCCTACTCTCTACAGTCCCATGTTATCTGCTATGCCACTTGACGCCTACAGTAACGAACGTCCTGAAATCCGCGTCGCGTGCAGGACGACAAACTCCTCAATCGACGTATGCACTTCCAGTCGCGTGTATCCACGAGACCCTCTTCGCAAACGATTGTCCTCTCAACGCCACCACAGAAGGGAACGTGCAAAGGAGCATGGACCTCTTTGTTGTCGCCTGCGGCAGCTTTGGTCCGACAATCAACAAGGACAATGAGGTGGTCATGCACCAACCGTCAACAAATGCCGAATACGTCTCACAGATCACTGTCAACGGCAACCGATTTCAATCCGTGGACAACTTCGCCCATGTAGATGGTGCACTAGCGTAACGTAAACATCGACAATGAAGTGACCTGACGGCTCTCCAAAGCCTGGCGAGCCATAAGCCGGCTGCAAGCCTCCGTGTGGAATCGTCGCGGCCCTCAACTTAGCATTAACCTGAAGACGTATAAGGCCGCCGTCCTGACGACACTCACATACGGAGCGGAGATCTGGACGCTTGCCTACCAGAACAACTCTTCTACGGAGATGCCTCACGAATGCTCGCCAAACGGGAGGACCAAGATGACGGTACAAGGACACTCTGAAGAGCTCCATGAGGCGTCTGCCGATCGAATCGGCAAACTGGGAAGACCTCGCTCGGAATCGACCGGCACGGAGGCGAATAATGAAGATGGGAGCGGCGATCTACGAAAACAACCACGGTAGTGTTGCCAAAGCCAAACGCGAAACTCGGAAATTCAAACTGCCCTGCCCCACAATGCGAACATCCAACCGCCCCCCAGCACGCCCTCGGTGTCAGCGAACGTTCCGGGCACAAGTCGACCTAGTCAAACGTCTTCGAACCAACTGCAGCACCCTGACAACACCACCTGATGCATTCCCGCCTCCGCTGTCCACACTGCTCCCGCAGATTTACTCACCGCAAGGGCCTACAAGGTCACCTGAGTTTTCAGGAAAACTGGTGGTAGACAACCGCCGGTTATACCACACCATCACACCCTCCCCCACCAGCCCCTGCGCCACACAACGCAAAGCACTCCATTTCCACCTATCACTTAAGTGGGAAGTGTGCCCTTCTGCTCCTTCTGTGTGTGTGATCCAAGCCTGAGACTACCACGGTGCGCCACGACTCGGAAGGCTGACGACTGACGCCTAAACTCAGTCCATCCAGTCAGCCAAGTTGTATTTGTGTAGAGTGACGGACTGAGTCAGGCTGCAACGATTCCTTCTTAACATGACCTCTGGCACTCTTACGCACGAGGAATGTCAGTCAGTCGATGAGTTACTGGTTACCCAGTTTTTGAAGGGTGATGGTCTAGGCTAAGTGCAAGACAGTGTGCCGCCAATCTCGGCCTCAAGGATTGTCTGCTAGGCCATAATTCCGCAAACCGTGGCCGTTGCAGAATGGTGTGCGCTGGCATTCTCTGGCGACTGGTTCCCTCTTCGCACTCCCGCCGGGCATACAGGTCGTTTACATCGTTTCCCGGTCATCCTCCTTTATCTGACACCTTATTTTGTTGTTGCTAGTTAAAATCTTCGCCAAGTGTTTGTTGCGCACCATGGGGTGCTGTGGTATGCCAAGGTGCGGTTTTAAGCCGTGCCAGCCACCTAAGCCCTCTCCCGCCTCTGGTTTTCTTGACTGTCTTGACACCGGATCCAATCAGGGAAGGAGTGCGGCGAATGCTGCGCAAGTCCACTCTCACTATAAACTAATCCACGCGCAGATCACCGTACCTGCTTCACCTTGCTGTGGAGCACACGGTGGACATCGCCGGAGCCGACGGTCTAACTGTCAATTTGTCAGCCATAAGAGTCGGATTGTTTCGCAGTTAACCTTCACTGACGGACAGCCAACGGCTAGGTCAATATGTGCATCCGTCTTCCCCACTTGAACGCAAAAAAGAGGATGATTGTCGAGACAACTTTCCAAGGGCTAAATGGTCTTCCTCTGCAAAGAGACTTTTTCTTGTCCCACCTAAGTTCCGTAGCGGCTAGGAAAGCAACAAAGAAAAAAGGCGTGGGTCGAACTCTTTTCATAAGAAACCAGGAAAGGTCGAAAATGCACGACTGACAAACATTGCCATTGGTAACAAGAAGTATGCACCACTACATACATTGCTGTGGCATTCTGCGTCCCACAGGTTCCTCTTCGTTGGGGTTCTTAGACTCGGGATTCTTAATGGTCTCGTCAACACTTAAAATCAAGCAAGCAGCCTCTGTCGCCGCGATAATTGCATTGCCCTTCACAAGCGCGGGTTCCCAAACAAACTTCTCAAAGTTGTTAGCGATATCCTCGTTCTGTATATCGACACCGGCCCAAACATCCCCTAGAAATGAATAATAAACTCTATTAGTTACACCACAGAGTAAGGGTAAGCAGACAAACTAAGCGCTAAGAAAATTTGTTGGTATGACAGTTGCGGTTGTTCGCAGCCTCAGAAACCAGAATGTGGATCAAAGAAAGCTCACTGACTTATTTAAGACGCCAGTTGGAATTGCACTAGGGACAAGGATGAAACTGGCCGTTTCCGCTTGTTAGGGTAGAGAAGTTGAAAGGCTGTGACAACCCTCGCCTCTGAATAATTATAAATACTCGTATGGAGGAAATGCCTTGCGATATTATAGAACTGAACTCCACAAAGGAAAAGATACGCACATATATGGTTGGTTTAGTGAGTCTTGGGACAATGTTTAGTTAAAAACTATATTCGCTACACGCTAGACAAACCTGCTATGTTGATAGAAGCGAACAGGCGAGTTCCAGGTAGCAGTTTAGAGGACGAAGATGCGATCAGTGATCGCATCTTCGTCCTCTAAACCTACTATGTGTAAATACACATAGTCGACAAACCGGTGTAGTCTGGCAAGTCTAGCACATCTTCGAATGCTCGTCTACATGCCACCACATGCCAATTACTTTAGCGTATCTCTGAAAGCGACGCGGCTGCAGACTAGATCTTTTATTCTTGGGATCGATGAGTTTGCAATGAACCCCAGGCAAAACCGGTAAATAACAAATCATAAGCCCCTACGTATACTGATTGAAACTCAGCGAGGTTTGCGTTGGCATGAAATAATCGCAGTAGGCAACAACATGTTAGACTTAAATTAGAGCAAAAACGTGTGGATTCCACAGCACGTCTTAGTAACTGAAACCCAGGGGCCAGGATTTGAAACATAGAGCCACATCCTGACTTGCCATAAACACGGCAAGGAAGGCTTAGTATGAAACATGTTAAGTTTGGAAGGGAAGGATTTCGTGAGACTAAAGCAGTGCAAGACTAAGGTCGCAAGAAAAATTGTTTTTGTAACTTAGGTACGAGTACGCACTCTATCTGGCACAAATATGGTCGTAGAAATCAGATGACGATACAGTGGAATAGTGCTTGCCGTAAGCGACCAGATTTCTGCCGAAAAACTACCGTAAGACATGCCAGTTTAAATTGTTAGTCTAGAACAGGTGATCTCGTGCAAAATATTCCTGGAATAAATGCCTAGGCTCTTGCATAGCACCTACATCAGTAGTACGCAAAAACGGCCTAATGTGAAAATTACAATACTGCTACACGGCGGCGTGGTTACTGTACGACGGGCCATTGCTTGAAAAACGACAATGCTGCCGGATATATAAGTGCCTACGCGGCGACCGGCGACTTCACGAGCGCCTCGACGTAATCTTTGCCGATGGATCGAAGAACTGTTTTAGGGCCGGGACAATGGGATGGCAACCGTGAACTTGTCACTGTAAGCAACGCCCACAAATGATTATTCATGTACACATGACAAAACGAAGTGGGAAACAAATTTGCGACCTTGGATAATTGTGCATATATGACTTGGTAGAGATGGTCGATGAACCAAGACCTGACCTTGACGACGGCAAAATGAGTTATGGAAATGACAGTTGGACTGCAATAATCGCCATGAACACCGCTGTTCTGGAGGACAGTAATGACCCACGCTTAGGCTAGATTATAATCAGTGGAACGTACGCATTCAACACAGCAAACTTTCACGTCTTCCATAACACCCAGTTCAGATGCCAAGAGAAAATCGGGACTAGAGATGGGCGTGGGCGCAGCGGCTCGTTCGGCATAAGTCATCCGCCAACGTATGCTACAGATGTGCCGGTTCCCGTACGCGCAAAAACCAGAACTCACAGACGGGAATTGCCCACCTGCGAGTCACCACAAAGCAACATTAGGCAGAATCCACTGAAAGCCGGCCCTGAGACCGAGGCAAGGCAGTCACATCGTCCGCTGACAGCATCCTGGAGCATAGAGGGCAAGATCTTGCGTGTGCTGATGTATGCTTCCTAACACATCAGAATGGAGACCCCGGGTGAAAAACTAAACTAAGCTTTATAACATAATCCACCTCAGTAAGTGCATCATCGGAGCGAGTGAAAAATGTGAAATGCAAGCACTTGCCTTTAGCATGCGCCTGCCTCAATTTATTGAGAACATTTGTAGGGTCGAATCCAGCGTTTTCACACAACTGGCGGGGAATGACTTCAAATGCTCTGGCCATGGCAGTGATGAACAACTGGTCCTTCCCAGGTATACTGCGTGCATACTCACGCAAATGTTTACTAAGTTCGATGTCGATGGCTCCGCCACCAGCAACAAACGCATCATTCTTGATAGCCCGACGGACAATCATTATCGCATCATGGAGCGATCGTTCCGTTTCTTCCATAAACTGTTCAGCACCACCCCGAAGAATAATTGTGCAAGTTTGGGCCTGCAAGCCACCCCTAAATATGTTAAATCTAAAAAGTAATACTAATGAGGAATATTTTATATAAAATACCTTTCGGAGCCTATTTGTATCTCCTGGAAGTCATCACATTGTCCAAGCATGTCCTTCGTTAGACCGTGCACGGTCGTCTGGATGCTGCCACCACAAGCCATTTGAGTTCTTTTCAGATCTTCCTCGGGCACACGACCAGCGCAGAACATATCCCTATCAGCGAAATATTGCGTGGCGACATCACCGATTGGCAACTTTGACAAAACAATCTTCACGCCAGCCTTGTGCAACATGTTCAACTTTTCGTAGAGGACACTCCACTCTGCATCAACTACCTTTTGGTACTCCTACGAGTATCTCAGAAGGACCATCGACTTACCTCTACGGTATTAAGCCTGACCTCTGCATTTTCTTTTTCGGCTTTTAGCTCCAGTTCGATGTTGAGTAGAGCGATAAGCGGCTTCTTGTACGACTTCGGCTGCATCTCGAAACCGGCATAGCTGAAGGTCTTCTTAAACGCGACACCATTCACAAGCATTGAATCTTCCAAAGCGCCGCCTGCTACCTAGAGGTAAAGCATGATTTAGAAAGGAATGAGCAAGCCTTCTTGATGCCAATCATTTTCAGGGAAAGAGACTGGTCGAGACTCTTGACGGCGTCCACCACTAACTTCGAGAAGAATCCCTTGTGTCCTGCGACCATCTTTGAGCTTAGAGCAGTGGCAGCACACATTTCTAACATTTTCCGCTGCTCTCTATTAAATGATTTGAATTCAGATGAAGAACTAACTTACGACGGGTTATTCTCCTGAATGCGACAAGCTAGTTCGTTCAGCTTCGCCAGGGCAACTCTAGCTCCTTCGCGGAAAGCTCGTATAATGACGGCCGGATGAACGTTTTCTTCTATAAACGGTTTAATCTGCCGTAAAAATTCGGACGCTAGGAGGGTAACACTCGTTGTTCCATCACCAACTTCCGCGTCCTGAGATCGTGAAATATCCACCAAGGACTTAGCAGCCGGATGGACGATATCCAGCATCTTTAAAATCGTAGCCCCATCATTGGAAATAGTCGCCTTGCCGTTGTTGTCCAGCATAAGCTTATCCATTCCACGAGGACCGAGGGTAGTGCGAACGGCATCAGCAACAGCTTGACAGGCGTTAATGTTGCTTATAATTTGCGGAACACCTTGGGAAGTGTCAGTTCCCTCTTTGAGAAGGATTATTCGAGCAGGCTACAGAATTTAGAAACCCCGAAAATCGACAAACCTACCAGCATGCTGAGCAACTATAATCGTTTCTAGCCCCTTCGTATTCAAAGTGGAACGTTAAAACAATCCGCCCCTGATGATAAAGTTCAGAAGGAGTAATTACTGGGTCTTTCAAACGTTTCAGTGTGCTTTCTGTGAAATTGACTTTGGTCAAATCTAAACTCGGACAACCAAAAATGAGGATGAAAAAAGACGTGTATATGCATAACAGTTAGGGTGTGTTGTGGTAGCCACTTATGTTCACTAAATATATGGTCCTGAAGTATATATCTTTCAAGTTCCCATTTGAATGCTTCATCGCTTTCCGCCAAGATAAATGATAATAGTAATAGTGGAATTGCGCATAATTTACCGTACTCTTTCCTCCCTCGCCCGCCCGAGCCCGGTATCAAGGTAGTTTCAGTAAAACCGGAGACGGGATTGATCGCAGTGACAGACAAAGGTAAACAGCCCGTCTGA